ACCGTAGCCAGGATGTGCTACCAAGCCATCCAACCATCTTGCTGTCGATCCATTGAGATACGAGGCAGGCACGATCACTTCCTGATCGAGTCGCGGCATCTTGGCCCTCACGTACGTTGGCACAGTCCTCAACCAAGTGTTGAGGTCCTCATCCTTCTTGTCGCCTGAAAACGACTCAGGAGGTGCCAGCACAGATTTAGGGACCCATTGCTGTGGCCCAGCCTGAGCCTGCTGCTGTGCAGGTGGCTGAACCGGCTGCTGCCCTGACGCTGCAGCAGCTGGATGCGAAGAAGAGGAAGCCGGAGCCTGTGTACCTCCCGCTAACTGTCCACCTGACAACTGAGGAACAAAAGTGCCTGACATTGCCGGCAATGTAGACGGCAATGGGGCAATGGGCTGCTGCCTGAAACTAGGCCCGGCCATTCTGGAAGAAACGCATGGCCCTCAGTATCTGGTGGAGGGTAGACTGGATATCATCCAGGCGGCTGTCCATGTACTCATACATGACCAGCATTCCTTCCTTGAGCACCTTCGCAGAGTCATCTAGGACAGAGTCGTCCAACACCTCTATTGCACCCTGGTCCGCCGCTCTGCTCTGCAATCTAGCTTTTTTATTCTTTGCTTTTCTTTGTCTATTTGACACATCTCTGAGTTCGTTCTCTAACCGAAGGCGAATATTCTCTACTTCTTGGATCTCTAGATCCTCCCTAGTGAGTTGAGGTGCCTGGCCAAACTGCGAACCAGCCATCTGACTAGAGGATGGGCCCTGACCGGAAGAAGAAGACATCGAGACCTGAGGGCTCTGTGTCTGACTGGCCTGTGAGGCCGCTGCTGCTGCCGCAGCCATTGCTAGTGCGTGCTCCGCTGCTGCTGCTGCCTCCCTAGCCCGCTGCAAATGCTGTGCTCTTCTCTCTGCACACAATCTTCTCTCGTCACCAGGTAAAAGGACCTGAAACACTACAGGTATACTTTGGGCGCCCTGCCGTTTCAACCTCCTATCGTCAGCTCCCTCCTCCTCACTTCCCGTACCGCTCGCTCATCAGCTAAAGCAGATCATGATCTGCACTTGTGTCCTCACAGGGACCTACCACATCACAGCATGATGTCTGACCGTGTTGAAAATAAATAAGTCAGTAATCTGTAGGAACTTCAGGGTGCACGTCAGGTAGTGTGAACAGTATATAGTAAATACACAGACTATGCAAATGATCTACCTCTACTTTGACTGATTCACAAACAGCAGCAAAAAATAGAACTGGAAATGATAGATTGCTACAGTTGTACTCTATTGCTGTCTGTCAGGTGTCAGCAGTCTGTAAACACCTCAACTCATCCAAATAAAAATAACATCACTTGCACAGATGTATGCAAAATGGAAATGCACTGATAATAATAATCGAGCACCAATTGGAATATATCGCTTCCCCCTGTATCCTTCTTGTTTGTCTTACTCCGACGCCCTTGGCTGCATCAGAAAGCGGCAGTGCCTATGGTGTCCACAACGGCCCACCCCTGTGCCCAGGTGAGTGAAAAGCCGGCCAGCCCAGACTGTACTATTTTTACCCTCGCATACCGCGCGAGTCGGTTTCCCCGCCGGAGTGTCTTTAACGACAAGTCTGGTACTCGTCGAGCCCACATAGGGCTGGCCTTCCCAACACCCTCTATGCACAGCAAGAGCTCTAAGGACAACGCAGCAAAGCATGCGTGCTCTACTCCCATGGGTTGGCATGGTGACCGTGACCCGTGCTTCGTCCAGGGCCCTTCAGAGGCACCGCCCTCTCCCACCAGATGTGCCACCGGGAAGAATGTCCTCTCTCAAGGTAGAGCATTCTCGACTCCTAAACCGAGGGAGGTCTCTCAAGACGGACTCTCTCCCTCATGGTAAGAAGAAATTGAGGAGGAAAGATAAGGTCTGGAACAACGTACTTGGAGATACCCCCCTCCCCCCCCAAAAAAAAACACAGATTTCTCACCAGTTGAGCCGACATGCATTTTCACGACCAGTCACAGCCTAGGAACCACCCACAATACAATGCAGTGCCACCTCAGCACAAATGCCACGTCAGCATGCTCTCATCATCCCACATACGCCCGTCGAACCAAAGGCCTTCCCGCCCGATCTTCTCTACCCAAGATTGGACGCCAAGCAAACCAGCATCAAAGTATCCTTACCGCGGAGAAGCTTCGTCAATGCACCAAGTAACCGGGACACCAGCGGTGCTGGTGAGGCAATATATGAACCAGCACCGTCTCATTGTCGGATGCAACCTCAGAGTGTTGATCATGCAGATGAGATGCATATAGTGTATACAGCTCCCGCTCGTGGGTGAATGCCGCTAGCATCTCAAACACACCTTTTCGGACGTATACTCACTCAGGTCTCGACCACGTGCCATCTTTTTCCCACATTGTCCATGACAACTCCTCTCAGGGTAACCCCAGTTCCCCTCTCCTTTGTGGTATGTATTCTTTTTGTGTTTTGTTTTTTTGTTATATATTCTTCGTGTAACCCGAAGAGTCACAAGTATTTTCACGCCCACTGTTCCGCTGCTTCTGCTTCTTCTTTTGTTGCTGCCTTTGCCCTTTTGTTTGTTCTGTTTTTTTTTTTTTTTTTTTTTTTTTTTTTTTTTTTTTTTTTTT